ATAATTTTTATCTTTTTTGAGTTCATTGGTACATTTTAGGTATACAATATAATTGCTTTCATCATTGGGATCTTGTACCTTTACAAGACTTATCTTGGTTCTTATTTTTCCCCAGCACTCCCTTCACCCCCTCCACCCTTCCCTTTACAAAAAGTCATTGCTTCCATATTTTTCCTTTTTACATATTTTTTCTTTTCTCTTTTTAACCTTTCCCCTACCTCTCCCACTTCCTCTACTCTTTTAGACCATTTTTCCTATTACACAATATCAATTATAACTTTTGAGCCTTATTTACACTTTTAGTTATTCACACCAGAGAAACTATTCAGTATTTACATGTGTGACTTAATTTCACTTAAGAGTATGGCCTCAATGTGCATCCACTTAGCTATAAATATCTCTAGTTTCTCATTTTTTATGGCTGAGCACTACTCCATTTTATTAAAAATGAAAAAAAAAACAAAACACAAAACACACACACACATCAGGCCAGGGATTTAGCTCAGTGGTTCCAGCACCTGCCTTGCAAGCACAAGGACCCGAGTTTGATCCCCAGTACCAAAAACAAAACAAAACAAAACAAACAAACAAAAAAACACATCTTTTTTTTAATCTAGTCTCCAGTTGATGGGCAACTGGGCTGTTTCCAAATTTTAGCTACTACAAACTGTACCACTATAAACATGGGTGAGCATATGTCACTGTAGCATGATTCTTTTAATTCTTATGGGAAGATACCCAGCAGAAGAATAGGTGGGTCAAATGGGACTTCTAATCCTAGTTGTTTGAGGTATCTCCATAATGATTTCTACAGTGGTTGCACCAGTCTGCTCTCCCACCAACAATAGAGAAGGGTACCCATCTCCCTATAACCCCACCAGCATTTGTTATTGGTTGATTTCTTGATAGCAGCCATTCTTATTGGGATGAGATGGAATTGCAGTGTTGTTTTCATCTACATCTCTCAAATGACCAGTGATGTTGAATATTTTTTCGTATATTTATTTACTGCTTTTACATCTTTGTCTGAGTTCTCCATGAACTGTGTTCCATATTTTTACTGTCAGCCTATGAGTTTCTTTTTCAAGTAGGTGTGTTTCTTGTATACAGCATTGTGTTGGATTTTGCTTCTTTATCTATTCTGCCAGTCTATTTCTCTTGATTGGTGTTCACAAATATTTTAATCCTGTCTGTGCTTTCTTTTTTATCATCCTCACAGAGTCTTTAACAAAGTGAAAGTTTTTAATTTTGATGAAGCCCAATTTATCACATTTTCATTTCATGGATTATGCTTATGATATTAAGCCTAAGAGTGTTTTGCCTCACCCTGAGTCAATAATATTTTCATCTAACAGTTTTAGTTTTACATTTTATATTTAGACATATGATGCATTTGGAATTAATTTTGTGTAAGTTGGTTCAAATGAACCAACTATGGGTATTCATTTGTTTACCTTTTTAAAGTTTATAAACCTTACAGCAACCTTTTGGAATGGGCTTTACTGTTATTATTGTATTTTAATAGGTTGATAAATCCAGAAAGATTTAGAAATGTAGTCAAGGTCCTAAAACTGTTGAGTAGAAAAAAAAAAACTAGAGATTCGGTGCAGCTCTCCCTAACTTGTGTGCTCTTACACTTGGCCTCTGTTCCCATTGCCCTATTCAATCCCTTTCTCTCTGAAGTCTTTCTTCCTGGGCAGATGCTCCAGCTTCCTGCACACATTCCTTTATCTTGACCAACCTTACCCTCACCTCAGCACCCAGGCTACCAGAAATTAGAGCCTGCTAGAACATGTCCAGGTGTCCTCTGTGACATATTTAGAGGGTGGAGTGTGGGTGCAGATTGGGGAATTTCCCTGTATGCAAACAACTTGTCATTCTGGTTCGGAGAAAGGCTGGTATGGGACTGCAGCATTGCCCAGAGTATTGCAGAACCTTTCAATCAGCTCACTACTCTGGGAGTGGCAGGCTCAAAATTTTAGGTTCCCAATAGACAGGCATACACATGCACAAAAACTTTATATAATAACTCCAAGTACAGAAAATTTCCATTCTCAATCTGCCAGAATAAAATACAGGGATGTAAGTCAATTGGAAGCACTCTGAGAGCCTCTTGGGGCAAACCCCTATAGCTAGAACATGTTTCCTGTCCCTTCTAATGGATATGGGTCACAGTCAGACCTCCACCATCTCATTGTCCATCCGTGCTCTCAAGTAGGCTGAGAGTGTAGTTCCCAACACACAGCTCTCTGTGGGGAACTGGGTGGGGTGGGGGGGCTTCCCAAACTGGTAGGAACCAGGGAACTTGGCCATTGCAACCACTGGGAAGAAGTTTCTAGGTAGATTGTGCTTTTGGTCCTCAACTTCACCCTATTCCTGAAGGACCCAAAAATTCTTTCCCTCTGTTACCTTGAGGGCCCCTTCTCGTAAAGTGTTTCAGAGACTACCAGGGTTTTGCTTTGGCCCACTTCCAAGAGATAAAAGGAGGAGCACATGACAGTGTCACCGCCCAAGTCACAATGGGTGAATGCTTCATAAATCTGTTTTACCTGACTGTTCAGAAGCTCTAGGGTGCTAGAACAGTAGTTCTGCTATTCCAGCAGGTGGATCAGCAGTGTCACTCTGGCCCTCAATGTCCCTGCACCTCCACTCTGTAAGTATCTCAAGGAGTGTTGTGTTTGGGATCTTGGCATCCCTTCTTCAGGGACTGTACTTCCTTTACCATTTCTGTGACAGTCTTCTCACAAAGACACTGACAATTCCTGGATTCTTGTCTACTGCAGGTGTAGCAGGGCTGAGGACTACTTAGCAGGTCCAAGCCTTGTGCCCTTATTACTTCCTCCACAAGCCTAGGGTGATCCTGTTGAATGTCAGAGATATAGCCCTAAGTGAGACTTTCTTAGGATCAGGTGGCTGTCACCAGTTCAGGCTACATGCCCACCCTCCCATAGGAGGCAAGAAGCCTTGCCTTGACCTCCTGCTCTTGCTAATGGTGATCTCCTTCCAAGCCTTCCCAACTCATCAGGGACTGTGAAGGCTGCTCTGGGGACAGGGTTCTGTTGTGCCTTCCCTTGCTCCAGCCAAAGCAAGCTTGGCACCTTCCTCTGACATTGTGTTTAGGGTACTTGTCCACTCTGGACACAGTTTCCATCACCTCCACCCTCCTCCAGACAGCATGATCCCACCTCCCTTTCTTCTATATCCTAAAAAGGCTCCCCTCATCCTGCTGTTCCTATGCCCAGCACATATCTACAGGAACCAAGATACCTGGGTTTGAGTATCAACTACCACTTACTAGATATGTGGCTAGCCATGTGGATTTGAACAAGAAAGTATCTACAAAGTATATGTGGTAGGTAAAGCAGCTACCATCCAGGAACAAAGTTCATGCTCAGTTCATGGCCATCACAACTGACAACTGCCTTAGGCACAGTCTTCCCTCCTCTATCTGCTATCAGAACTCACCCTAGAGGTTGTATTTAAGATGTTCTGGAAAGAGCAAGCTCTCCATCTTCCACAGGGAATCTCTGCTCACCTGTCATACCTCCACTCTAGCGGATTTGTGATATGTTTGGACCAAAGCTCCAGAAGTAATCCTAATGGTGAGGATAACCCTAATTCAGTGAATTACCACCTTGGGTTCCACAGGTGCCCACCTCCTGTAGCAGGTGGACTTGGTCACCCTGGAAGGTTTCCTGCAGACTTCTGCCAACATGCCCAGCCATAGGTGAGAGATAAGAAATCTGCACTGCCTATACGTGGTGGCCTACTCCTCAGCTAGAATCTCTGGGAACCCCATCTGTTGAAGCACTTCTAATTTTCCCTGCTTTGCTTTCTCATCTCTGAGATGAGAGGTGAGAGGGAAATTCCACGGACCAAGGTCTCACCCTCTAACACTGAGAAGCTTTCATCCCTTTTCACATCCGCAGTCATGGAGCAAGGTACTACCCATAGTAGAAGCCAGAAAAGGGGAGGAAAGCAGGGAGCTCGGAGAAAGGGAGGGAGACACCCCAGTGTGCTTCCACTGCTTCTCCGAACACCTCTCTGTCAGCTGTCATCTGGCTACCCCTTTATTCACCAGCGTGGCTTTGCATCCGTCCAGCAGACAAATGTGGCTCTGCAGGACATTTTCTCCCCCACTGCTCTAAGTCTCTGCTCTGAGCTCTCAGGCCAGATTCCTGCGCATCGCAACACTGCTCTGTGGTCCTTCCAGTGGAGGCTACCCCACTTCCAGGAGATGTGTCCCTGGAGATGCCCCATTGTTCCATGGAGTCTCCTCTCTGGCGACAAGCCAGTCCTGGCAACAGGGCCAGGGGTTTCATTGTTCTCATGGGTGCACAGGTGCTGATTCCTATATGGCTGGGCTGAGAACTTGGCCAAGAAGGGGACATCCCTGCAGACTGGAATCATGCTTTCTATTTCCAAAGAAAACAACAAAGCCAAAAGGAAGCACTGAACAATCAGACCAAGAGATTCAGACTAGAAAATCTTCAGCAAAGTTTTCTGAACCTCGCACTTGCTGGGGTTGGGGATCCAGGCCTCTGTACTCCATAAGAGACCCCAGAACCTTTTTTAAATACTCTACATAGTGCATCAAGAAGATAACAAACCAACTTCCACTAGGCGATGGGTCTAGATAAAAGGGAGCCTGCGCCAGGGATTTAGCTCAGTTGTTCCACCACCTGCCTTGAAAGTGCAAGGACCCGAGTTCGATCCCCGGTACCAAAAATAAAAAATTTAAAAATAAATAAATAAAAGGGAGCCAACTTCTCAAACTGCACTTCTGTTTCCAACTGCAGGATGCCCCTGTGGTCCAGAGTTCCTCCCTAGCTCAGGGGTGAAAGTTGGGGAGGAAACAGAAGTCAAGGGGGGAAAAAAAACAAGGTGCTTAGGGCAGGGGGCACACTCCTCTTCCCATTCCTGCTCGCTCCAACAGTGCTGGAGGTTTGCCCCGCCTTTGCAGGGCCGGATCAGATCCTCCCTGGCTGAAAGCCGGCTCACCTCACAGTCCCCACCCTCCTGGGACTGAGCAGCCGGAAGCGGAGGCTGCTGGCTCCGGAGCTACAGGTGCGCAGGAGACCAAGCACAGGGGAGGGCCAGGGCAGCTGCGCCGACCCCATGGCCGCTGGGCCCGTGGAGCAGCGGCTGGGCAGCCTCACCATCTTCACCCGGGCCGACTTCGAGGACGACTGGCGACAAGTAGCCAGCGGTGGCTTCAGCCAGGTGTTCCAGGCGCGCCACAAGCGCTGGAGGACCCAGTATGCTATCAAGTGCTCCCTCTCCCCACAGCAAGACGCCACCAGGTATCTGCGACCTGTCCTTTCACAGGGGAGAGACTGAGGCCGGCAAAATTTGACCTAGAGAGCTCTGAGGGAGCGGTGGGGGGCTAGGGTTGAGGCTGAATATTTGTAAAGTCTGCCCATAGCCTAAGTTTCCTAGGCATAGCTGTCTTCCTCTGAACCTGAACTACTGCAGGCACACAGTATGTGTGTGGGACCGACAGAGGTCAGGGGCCCCTGTCCTCAGACTTGTCCTGCCTTCTTCCTTCCTCTGGGGAGTGATGACTGCTCCTGGCCACTCTCTGCTGCCCTCCTTCTCACCCCAAACTCTCCTGGAAGAACTGGGCTTCCTGAGAGGTGTGGAACTTTGCGTGACCTGCACAGAGCCACCCTCTCTTCTCTGAGTGTCTGCTGATGCAGGCTGGGGTGGCTTGGACAGTGGAGGCTGCCCAGCCTGCTGGCCTAGGAGCTGCTCCAGGGCACCTGCCAGTTGTCACATAGGTCTTGACGAAGGTGAAGTCTAGAGTGCTATGTTCTGTGTACTTTTAGTTTTTTTGGTGTTTAGGCTCTCATCATTGCACAATAGCCACATTATGATAAATAAAAATTTTGTCTGTAGTACATATGGCTACTTGACATTTATTGATTAAAATACCTAAAGAGAATGGACTAGTCTGATCTTTAAAGAACAGACTTGGTCTAAAAATATTCATTTGTGGGCCATGGGTATATAAAGGAATTGTCGTAGGGTTGCTGTTTTATATAGACATTTGTGAAATATTACTAATTAGGCAGCATTTGAGATCTTTGAAGCAGATAAAGGAGTAAGCTCTTAAGGCAGGGTATTCTAATTAGAGGAAGCAGCCAGTACAAAGATCCTTGAGTTGCAATGGGCTGAGCAAAATGCCCACGTGGCAGCAGCAGAGTGGGTGTAAGGTCAGAGGGCTGTGCCTGGGGGTCTGAACAGATCATAGATGAATGGCTTTATCAGCCATTGTAAGAACATTGGCTTTCACTGTAAATAAAAGACCTCTTTAAGCAAGGCAGTAACATGCTACCATATACCTTTCAAAATGTCATCTGTTGCAGAGTTGAGACTAGACTGTAAAAGAGAAGAGGGAGAGTAGAGAGGCTAATTAAGGCTTCAGCCAAAATGCCAATAGAGAAATACAAATTAAAACAACACTGAGATTCCATCTTACTCCAGTAACAATGGCTGTCATTGATGACTCAAAAGCAACAAATGCTGGTGAAGTTGTGGGGGAAAGTATACTTCTACACTACTGGGGGAATGGAGACAAGTACAACCACTGTGGAAATCAGTATGGAGATCCTTCAAAAAACTAAAAATACAATTTTATTTGATCCAACTATACCTCTTCCTGGTATCTTCCCAAAAGAGTGAAAGACATCACATTGAGTGGTGCATTCACACTCATGTTTATAGCAGCACAACTGGAATAGCTAAATTATGGAATCTGCCTATATGAAGACTACCAGACAAATGGACAAATAAAATGTGGTGTGTAGATATACAGTGGAGTCCTACTCAGCCATCAAGAAAAATAGATTTGAGTCATTTGTAGGAAAATGGATGGATCTTGAGATCATAATGCTAAATGAAATGAATTAAACACAGAAGATTAAATATTGCATGGTTTCTACAATATGAGAAGCCTAAAATATAAATAATTTAAAGAGCAAAATAAAAGAGGAAAGAAAAAGGTAGACTCTGTGAAGATGGGAAAGGGAGGAATAAAGAAGGCTGGGAGGAAGAGGAGTAAAAATGATCCAGATGCAATATGTATACATTTTAATTCCCCAAGATGACTGTTATTATTATATACTATAATCACATACTAAAAAAAAAGACTTGGGCCAAGATTCAGAAAGGCAGAGGTGGTGAAAGTTAGTCATGTTCTTACTGTATTTTAAAGGTAGAGGCAATAGGACTTGTCCAGGGCCCGATTGTGGGAGTAAGAGGAGGAGTCAAAGATGCACCCAACTCCTTGTCTGTGACTGGAGGAAATGAAGAAGGAGGAGAGAAGAGCAGGTGTAAGGGAGAATCAAGAATTTCACTTTAGACCCGTTAAGTTTTGAATATCCAATTGGAGGTGTCAAAATGACCAGGGAAAGTATAGAGTAGGAAAAAAGAGAGGAGAGCACTGAAACCTAGCCCAGTGACCAGCTCCTCTGAGCCTGCAAAGGAAGCAAAGAGGAAGTGACCAGAACAAGAGGGAGAAATCCAGGAGAATGTTGGGAGTGGCTGAGGTACGACAGTTTCAAAAAAGAGTGAAGATTGTAGGAACAGGAGTTGGTTGAAGTACGAACACCAGAAACCAAACAGAAGAGGGAAGGTGAGCTGTGAAGACAGGGGCACAACCCTCTCAGGGAGTGTGACTGAGAATGGGAATCCTGCAAGGCAGTTACTATTCGTCCCATTCTACAACTTAGAAACTAGAAGAAATCACTTGCCCCAGCTCGTGCAAAGAGTAAGTGGTAAAACTGGGATTTGAAGTCAAGATGATGACTCTAGAGCCTGTACCTTTTCCAGGTCATGACAGATGTTGTTCTAGTTTCTGTGAGCTCAAGAAGAGAGAAAACAGTAAAAATATCAGAGTCGGAGAGATTTCCAGAATAGTCAAGAATAAGAGGAAGAACAAGAGAAGTCAAGATAGCCAAATTGTGTAGGTCCCAGGAGAGAAGGTGGCTGTCTCAGGGTGGGCAGGCTGTCCATCTGGCTTCCCTAGAGTGCTCTGTGAGCCCATCTCCAGCAGCACTGCAGTGCCATCACAGTCTTGCAGATATGGTTCTTTTAAAAGTGCCATTTCTCCTTATTCCCCATCCCCACAATCCCCAGACAGTCTATAACAATTTGCATATTTACTGTTCTGTGGCCCCACACGGTGAAGTGCGCAAGAGGGTTTGCAAATGCTTATTTTGTAAGGCTTTCCACTAAATCTTGACTTCTGGTCACTTCAACAAAGATGTATTGTGTGGTGCAAGGCAATGTGCTGTGGGGAGTACAAAGAAGGATAATTATAGTTCAGTCATAAAGCAGAATGCTATGCAGTCATTAAAGACCCTGCTTCAGGAGAATGACAATGTGGGGAAGCGCTCAGGCTCCACTTCCTTGTGATCAGAAGAGAGGGGGGAAGAGAAAGGAATGAAAGGGAGGTAGAAGGGGGATGTATCTTAAAAGAATCTACTACAATATTAACATGCCAATTCTAGAAGTTTAGATTACTGGTGCTTTAATTTTCTTTTTTATAGCTCTCTGAATTCCCTAGGTTTTCTACCGGGTATATGTAATACTTTCATAATCCAAATGGCAATAGATATTTTAAAACAGAAGCATAAGGCATAATATCATCCCTATAGAGGTTTGAAATCTGCTGGGGGAGATAAACAAACCAACAAGAAGCTAGAATAAATGGCAGGCTGCGATACATGTTTTTTATACCTTGCTCTGCAGAACGGACAGGCTGCTAACCTTTATGTCCTGTCTCATCACTGCTGTGGCCATCTGACCTTCAGTCTGCACTGCCTGCTAGGCATCACTTCTAGTCTCTCCTCCACTGCCTTGCAAGCTCCCAATGCTGCTCAGAGTTCTCTCAGTTTGGCATGCTTACTTTGTGCATTCTGCTGGTTTGCAATTAGTGGGTCACCCTCTTCCATCTGTTGCCCCTCCACTCTTCCTAGCTCCGATGTGAATAGCCTCATTGAAGAAGCAACTAAAATGGAAAAGATCAAGTTTCAGTACATTGTGTCTATCTATGGGGTGTGCATGCAGCCCTTGGGCATTGTGATGGAATTCATGGCCAATGGCTCCCTGGAGAAGATGTTACCCACCCACAACCTCAGCTGGCAACTCAAGTTCCGCATCATCCATGAGACCAGCTTGGCCATGAACTTTCTCCACAGCATTAAGCCCCCTCTGCTCCACCTGGACCTCAAGCCAGGAAACATCCTGCTGGACAACAATATGCATGTCAAGGTGAGGGCCCTGCTCAATCTTCTTGTCCCCTTTAAAGCTAAGCTGTACTCTACTGTGGGTGAGCAAGATTATCTGCCTGCAGCTGGCCTGTCAAGAGTTTTAAGGAATTACTTTTTTTGAACAAATACTGAAGGACAAGGCTTTTCCTGAAGAAAGGAAAGATGGATATATAGCAGAATTTGGTGCATGAAGTTGGGTGTTGGGATGCCAGCAATATAGCTCTCCGGGCCTCAGTTTCTTGTTTCTAAAATGGTAGACTATTTTTTATACCTCTCATTCAGTGGTGGGGGCAGGAATGTTACCTAAATGAGATGATCCCTAAAAAAGGTCACGATGACCATTTTTATCTAGTTCCTAAAACATGACATAGTCTTCTCTCCCCTTGGATATTTGAACATTCTATTTCCCTACTCCTTTCTATCTAGCAAAGGCCTAATCATCTTTCAACTCAGAGATTAAATATCCCTCTTTAGGGAAGTTTTCGCCTGTCTACACCAACAGGGTACTATTCTATACCCTCACTATCTCTGTTTCTTTATATTGATTGCAAGCACACGATCATTTGCAAAACTTTCATTTCGCCCCATCTGAACCTACCCTAGTGAGGGTATAGAGCTCCCCAGCTTTATGTCCTTCGATGGATGGCCAATTGGTGAATGGGCAAAGTGAGAATAAACATACGTGGTGTGAGTACAGGCAGATGAACAGAAGCTCACGGATGGTGGCAGCTGTATCTTTAGTACCTCTGGCTAATCACAACACCTGCCAAGTATCTATCATGTGCTGTACTGTAAATACTGTTTGTATGCTGCCTCATTTAATGCCCATGATGTCCCTGTGAGTAAAATACTCATATTATTTCCATTTTCAGATGAGGAAACTGGGGTTCTGAGGAAAATGAGGTTGACAGATGAGGAAACTGAGGTAATAACTCGTCCGAGATCATGCAGGTAGTTAGTGGTTCAACTGGGAGATAGTGAAGTAGGAAAGCACTCTGATAAGCCAGAAGAGGGAGAAATAAAGGTAGCTTCTGGAGGCAAGACCACTGGAACCCACTGGCTTTCTACCAGATTTCAGACTTTGGCCTGTCCAAGTGGATGGAACAGTCAACTCGGATGCAGTACATTGAGAGGTCAGCGCTGCGGGGTACTCTCAGCTACATTCCCCCTGAGGTGTTCCTGGAGAGTAACAAGGCCCCAGGGCCCAACTATGATGTGTACAGGTGAGAGGGTAGCTGGGCTCTAGGTCACCTACCCAGGAGGCAGATTGTTGGCACCACCCTGTCTGTTCCCTATGGCCAGTAGGCAGAGCAGGACAGGGACGAGGTCCAGCCCCTCCCTGCTCAGGGAGTAAAGTAGGGGATGAACTCTGACTGGAGAGGCTTCATCTGAGGTCTTGGGGTCCATGGGGCCATGCTGGCTGGGGGAATCGTGGGTATCTGACAGACTCTCAGGGAATGTTTTTCCCTTCTGCAGTTTCGGGATTGTGATCTGGGAGCTCCTCACTCAGAAGAAACCATACACAGGTAGCAAATGGCAGGAGCTCTGAGTTTGGGGTAGGGGCAACCCTCTCAGATGGAGTCCTGGAAGAGGGTGTGGGAGGCTGAGGTTGGTGAAGTCAGAGGAAGCCAACAGGTTTGTGTTGGGAACTGCAGGCTCTTCAGGAATGTGTCCCTCACCCTGCTTCCTTGCACCTCTTGTTTCTAGAGATCATGTAAGAATAAAAGGGACAACAAAAGTCAGCCTAGACCTTGCTTTGTGGCTGTAACACCCTTGCTCCAAAGTGTTCTTGGCTGCCCTCTCCCCATGCTGCCATCTAGAGGCAAGGAAGGAGATACAGGCCTGTTTGGCTCCCTTGCTGTCCTTGAACAGCGAAAGCCTGCAGTGTGGGATCATGCTCCCTCTTGAACTGGGACGTGGCTGGAGCCAGCCCAGAGACTCACCACCTCAAATCAGGGGCTCAAGTGGGTCCAATATCCAGCTGTTTAGTCCCTGAGTATTTATAGAGCCCCTACTGTGTGCACACCTGTTGGGATCCTCTCTGCCCCCACCTTCCTACCCAGCCCTTCTGCCCTGCCTCCTAGCACTGGCTCAGCCTGGGCCTCCTCTCATAGGACTCAACATGATGACCATCATCATCCAAGTAGCAGCGGGCATGCGGCCCTCCCTGCAGCCTGTCTCCGAGGAGTGGCCAGGCGAGGCCCAGCAGATGGTGGACCTGATGAGGCGTTGCTGGGATCAGGACCCCAAGAAGAGGCCATGCTTTCTAGGTGTTCATCCAGCCTTCCCTACCCAGGGCCCAGGGAGTGGATGGGGTCAGGAGGGGAGACGATTGGACCCCAAGACCACCCCTGAGAGCTATGCAGATGTAACTGCAGCACTGGACCTTGGAGAGAGTTTTGCAGAAAAATCTGCATCACAAGGCTGGGAGGATGGTATTGACATCTCAGGCAGCCAAGGTCAGGGTTTTGATCTGTCTGTATACCTGTGAGAGGTGGAGCAAAATGCTAGAAGGCAGGAGGTGCAGCATCTGAGCCTAGCCCTATTGTTGAGCTGTGCAGCCAGTCCTAAGTCCTGTTAAGGCTGCAGCATCTTTACTGATAAAAATATACCCAGGCCATGAGGTTATAGGCCATGGGGGTACCAGGCCTGGAAGGCACAGTAAGGGTATCTTGTTCTTTAGGAACTCAGAAAACACATACATGTGTGAGCATCTTAGAGATCATCTGGCCCCGCCCCCTTGACCTATGGAAAAGGACTCTGATCCTCAGAGTATCGGTGACTTGCCAAATGTGTCCCTACCAAAGCAAAACTGGGATCCAGTGTTCTTCTGCCTCCCTGAGTGCTTGTGTAGTTATATGAGCCCAGGAATCGGTTTTGGGGAGACTTGTTAGGGTATCTAAAATTGTGAGGGAGCCACGCCAACTTGTTGCCTTCTTTCTCTTTGTCTCTTATGGAGCAGACATCACAGTTGAGACAGACATGCTGCTCTCCTTGCTCCAGTGCCCTGTGGCAGACCCTGAAGTTGAGGCCCTGGCCAGGAAGGTGTCCTGTAAACCCTCTCTGCGTCACCAGCCCCAGCAAGTGAGTATAGCAGGCCAGGAGGGCTTCAAGTTATGCTGTCTGAGGTTCTGCAGAGGGAGGACATGGCTCTCCTAAGCTGTCACACTATAGGTCTCAGTGTCATCTTTCTGCCCTCCTGTCTCTACTCTGACATGGGAACTAGCTGGAGGCTAGAGGGGGCTCCTCGCTGCCATGTGGTCCCAAGGGAAGGCCTTGGGCCACCTTGGTCTGGTCAGGTCTCCTCTACTCATGCTTTTCTCTAGGCACAGCCAGGGAGCAATGGCACAGGAAGAGAGTTTCCAGGTTGGGGAGGGATGTGATCCATGAGCAGTGGCAGGAAGTTCTGCCTGCTGATTTGCCTTATCTCTACTGATTCTGCCTTCCCAGGTCAGTGAGGAAGCCGGCCAGGAGCTAATGGACAGTGGTAAGCTCAGGGTGCTGCAGTGGGACAAGAGAACCCACAGGAAGGGTCCAACGACACTCTGTCCCCATGCGCTCTCCTTCTCCCTGGGCCTGGCATACATCCAAGGTGTGGCTCTTTTCTAGCACCCAGATAAATGGTCTAGAAACACATATGTGCTAAGGTTTTTGGGTGTTTTTTCCCTTCAGGTCCATGTCGTAGCAAGACCTGACTCCTCTATTCTGACCCAAGAGGTGGAGCGTTCGTTCTCCATACAGGCTGCACATTAGAATTACTTGGGAATTTAAAAACAAAACAAACAAAAATGGATGTCTGGGACCGACCCTAGACAAATCAAATCAGGATTTGTGGGAGTTGGGCCTGGGCAGTGATCACTCTTTTAATTTTTAATTCTGATATGCCACTGGGTAGAGTAGTGGGAAGGACCTCAGGGGGAGTTTAGATTATAGAGGTCCAACCACAAATGTTCTTCCAATTTGCATGGACTTACCCCTCTCTGGCCCTCCCATGAAATTTTTTACCTATTTTATCTTCACACTGGTGTGATGAGCTGAAAACTGTTGGTCTCCCCACTACTCAGCCCAAAGTTCAGCCGTTAAAGAGACAGAGAATTGGCTGAGGTCAGGGTTGCTTTCAGTGGAGTAAGGATTTGGACCTGGGCCCGGTTGTCTCCACCATGTCTGCAGGCTCAATGATTCGGAACAATGATGGCAGAGTTCCTACCGTGACAGTAATGAATGTGTAGAGACCCTTGATACTAGGAAAGGCTTTGCTCTCATTCCTCTAGACTCTGTCTCTAGATGAGGCAGGGAAATGGGTCGCGATGACCTCTGGACAGGTCATTGGTCTCTTTTTCTAACCCATCTTCTTCCCAGCAGATTCGGGAGACTATATGAAGCAGGTTTTGCAACTCTCTGACAGTGAGAGCTTGGTCCCCAGTGATGAAGAGCTGCGCATCTATGAGAACAAGGTCACACCCCTCCACTTCCTGGTGGCCCAGGGCAGTGTGGAGCAAGTGAGGCTACTACTGGCCCATGAGGTAGATGTGGACTGCCAAACAGCCTCTGGCTACACGCCTCTCCTCATTGCTGCTCAGGACCAGCAGCCTGACCTCTGTGCTCTGCTCCTGACACACGGTGCTGATGCCAACCTGGTGGATGAGGACGACTGGGCCCCGCTGCACTTTGCGGCCCAGAATGGGGATGACCGCACTGCCCGCCTGCTCCTGGACCATGGAGCCCTTGTGGATGCCCAGGAGCACGAGGGCTGGACCCCACTGCACTTGGCCACGCAGAACAACTTTGAGAATGTAGCACGGCTTCTGATCTCCCGTCAGGCTGACCCCAACCTGTGTGAAGCTGAGGGCAAGACTCCTCTCCACATGGCTGCCTATTTTGGCCATGTCAGCTTGGTCAAGCTGCTGACCAGCCAGGGGGCTGAACTGGATGCTCAGCAGAGAAACCTGAGGACACCACTACACCTGGCTGTGGAGAGGGGCAAAGTTCGGGCCATCCAGTACCTGCTAAAGAGTGGGGCGGCCACTGATGCTCTTGACCAGAGTGGCTATAGTCCACTGCACATTGCTGCTGCCCGAGGCAAGTACCTCATCTGCAAGATGCTGCTCAGATATGGGGCCAGCCTGGAGCTGCCAACTCAGCAGGGCTGGACATCCCTGCATCTAGCAACCTACAAGGGCCACGTGGAAATCATTCACCTGCTGGCTGAAAGCCACGCAGATATGGGTGCTCTTGGAAGTATGAAGTGGACGCCCCTACATCTGGCTGCCCGCCATGGGGAAGAGATGGTGTTGTCGGCACTGCTGCAGTGTGGGGCTCACCCCAACACTGCTGAGCAGTCGGGCTGGACACCCCTCCACCTGGCTGTCCAGAGGGGCGCCTTCTTGAGTGTTATCAAACTCCTGGAGCATGGCGCAGATGTGCATGCCTGTAACAAGGTGGGCTGGACACCTGCCCATCTGGCTGCCCTTAAGGGGAACACAGCCATCCTCAAAGTTCTGGTCAGGGATGGTGCCCAGCTGGACATCCAGGATGAAGTGGGCTGCACTCCGCTGCAACTGGCCCTCCAGAGCCAAAAGCAGAGCATTGTGGCCTTCCTGCAGGGCAAGGAGCCTTCCCTAGCCATTCTTGGAAGTGTTGAGCCAGGAGCCCAGATGGAAGTTTAGGCTCTACCCTGCTTGGAAAAGGACAGGGTGGTGGAAATGAAACTTGACTTTTGGGAGGACCCCTTCTCTCCTGCTCTTTTGACCTTGAGAAGAAATAAAAACCTGGTGTCCTGGGTGATGGCGGGAAGGGGAGATGTATCACTGAGGCTGTAGCTTGGAAATAGGTCCTTGGCTTGGACAGCTGCTTCCAGCTCCTCTCCAAGTCATCTCCAAAGACCCCTGTCCTCTTCTTCCTACTTTACTTGGATTCAAACTTCCCAGCTCTCTCCAGCTCCAAGATTTCTGCCACCTTGTGACCCCTGTCTCTGAGTTCATCGGATCCTTACATCCAAGAAAGCCCCTCTGAAGACAAAGGCAGGCCTAGGGATGAAGGAAGTAAATTTTTGCCAGCTTGTGTCTTGTGTTACTGGCCTTCTTCTCAGACTGAGGCAGGACAGCCAGACTCACCCACTTTGGCCAAGGGGCAGGAGCTCAAAGTTCAGAGGAGCTGCCTGCTGGCTACTTAAGGCCTCAGCCTGCCCATCATCACAGTGACCACATTTTCCCAGTGGCCTTCCCTCATCTCCTGCATGGTCTCTGGGCAGTGAAGAATGGATGTTCCGCACCATAAACGAGTGATCTGATGTGGGGCACCAGTTTCCTGGTCCCTGGATCCACACTGCCCCTCTTTACGCCAAGAAGTATGGCCAATTTCAAATCTTGGAGTCAATAAAGCTGTAGATCTGAATCTCTGCATTAGAGATTGATTGACTATGGGACTGGGTATATAGGGGCCAGTAGTATGGAAGATGGGGGAAAGAACTAACATACTGCATGTGCATGTATAGTGGAGTATGTGAGCTCATGTTGGAGGGAGGTGGAGGGTGCCCAAGGAGAGTTGGCGTGTGTGTGTGCATAACACACATGTGTATATAATACACGTGTGAGTTTACATGAGGGGAGGGAGCAGGGGCAGCTGAGGGGCTGTGGTGGTGAGGAGTGGGTTGTTTGGCCTTGGTATGGAGCTGGCTAGGCAGTGACTTTGCTGCTTGGCACCCATTCACAGAGCTGGCTCTCCCCCGATCACAGCCTGGCCACTTGTCAGCTGCACCACTCCTTTGTGTGGTGAAGGCCCTGGCTCAGCAGCCCGTGGGAGAGCGTGGGGCAGGACAGGTGCCCTGGAGATCCTGTGCTGCTCCTCTGTTCTGCCCACACTGCACAGCAGAAGAGCCTCTCAGCTCAAGGATGTTTTGTAACTCTCAGAAAAAAGATCGTGCCCCAACTTCCAGTCAGCCTTAAGCCCTAAGCCAAGTGACAGGCCCTGCTTTGTGTATCACTTTTCTGGGTGCTGCAGTCTGGGAGTGGAGTCCACCTTCAGCATTCTGGTATTAGCAGAGGTAGGAGAGACAAGGCAGCAGCATTTACAATCCCATCAGTGCATGAAACCCTTTAAGCAGTGTGCCATCCTCAGGCTCCAGCTTGTTGGGCTCTGGACCCCTCACCCCACCATTCTGTAGCCTGTAGCTCCCGCAGAAAGGCCAGACCTAGGCTGGGTTGTGTCCTCTAGCAGCAGCCATAAAGCTGATACATGAGATTCTCCTGGGGTGGGATTTTATTTTTTATACTTATAATTGAACCCAAGGCTTTCACAGTGAATTATTTCCCTAGCCCTTCAGGGTCTTGCTAAGTCCCAAAATTGCCCAAGCCCAACTAGAATTTGCAGTTCTGCTCAGCCTTCCAGGATGTTGGAATTACAGGTATATGCAACCACACCCAAATGTGAGGGGCTTTCAAAATATACCCAAACCTGGCCTGACCTGCAAGTGTTAACCTAGAAAATCCTGGTTAGAGTCCTGGTGTGAACACCACAAACAATTCCCAGGCGATTCTGAAAAATAGCCAGGGCTGAGAACCACCACCAGGGGGCATTCCATGATTTCTTACTGTGGCCATCCAAAGAACCTTAAGGAGTTGCTGGCCGCCCCCTCCCCTGCAGGATGGGGGAGGCTTGGTAGATGAGTAGGGACTCCTGAGGTTTAGGGGCCACTCAGCAAGCTTCAATTCTCCTACTCCCTGCTAGCCTCCTGCCCCAATCTCTTGAGACTAAGCCTTAAGCAAAATTTGTAGTTAAAAATGCCTCTAGGATGCCTGCCTTTCCCAGAACAAGTAGAGCAGGAGGAAGTCAGGGAAGGGGTGCAGGGGGTTGTTTGCATCTTCCTGAACCCTGGAATCGCTCTCACTCCAAGTCTAAGATTCTAGGGGAGCCAGAGGAGAAGATTGAGGCTACATATTCACAGCCAGTTCAGCACAGATAAGGACAGAGCCACAGAGAAGTATAGCATCTGACTTATTTTGGTGGGAAGTTTGAGGAAAGACCTTTGAAGGAAGGCTGTAGAAGAGGTCGGTGATCTCTTGGCACCCATTGTCCCATGGAGATGTGGACAGGCCTGTCTCTGGGAATCCTTTCATCTCAAATGATTCTGAGTCTAGGCTGGGGTCTTCAGACTCTTGCTTCCTTTGTGTGTTTTCTCTAATTCATGGGCTGAATTGATAAGTTTCAAGCTAGCCCTGTTAAGCAGATGCTTTCATTGCCTTTGAGCACCTTCTGCTCTCTCAAGTCATCCTAGCCAGACACAGACACACACAGCCTCTGCCTTGAGTCCCATCTCAACACCACTGGCTTCTAGAGGTTTCCCAAGGGTGTTCACAATTGGATTTTCATGAGGCCCTTGAAATTCTGAGGAGAGCCTCTAGTGGACTTTCCAGCCTTGTATGGGAATCTTACGTGTAGGGTACTAGAAACTTAGTGCTCCAATTTCCTATTGGACCTCTCTACTTGGAGGTGCTATGGAATCCTTAAACTCAAATTATCCCAACCTAAATGCTCCCTTCCCCCTTCACAAGCCTGATCCTTGATTTCATGTTAGCTGAACTTGGGAGTCCTTCGGGACCAGCGCTGTCCCAGACTTTATAGGAGAATGCCTCCTAGCCTCCTATATCTGCACTGTCTATACTTGTGGTACTGAGCACTTGAATGTGGCAAGTGTGCCTGGGGAGTCAAATTTTTAATATCAATAAATTTAAGTAGCCACATCTGGACAGTGGACAGGGCGTCTATACTCTTCTCTTCCCTCTCCCTTCCTCCAGGCAGTTTCGTAGCCAAGTGGAACTGATCAGAAAGGGCCTCCTGGAAGATGTGAATGTGGAAGAATGTGACAAGGATGGAGAAGAGGAAGGGCAAAGCCTGGGCTGGTTGGAAGCAGGGAAAGGCCAACCAGCTGTAGAACATAGAGAAACAGCTGTTTGTGGGGAAGGACAGTTCTGTTTAGAGTAGGTGAAGAAGGTGGGCTCTCAGTAGGGAGATCTTGGTGCCCATCCTGATTCAGGAGCTTGGACTCAATGTGAGGGGTGGAGGGGAGCTACTGTCACCTTGCCGGCAGAGGGTGGATACAGCTGGGATGTACCATGCGGTCCACAGACCCCTAGAGCTCAGTGTAGGGTGAGGAAGTAGGGCTCGGTAGTGGGAGTCCAGGATCCTGGACTGTGGCAGCAGGTGGGGAACTGGCCAGTCAGACCCAGACTGGAGTTTTGATTCTGCTCTTTACTAGCTCTTGACTTTCCCTAGACTTTTGGAGCTTCAGCCTCCATATTTGTAACAGATTTGTCATCAGGAGGATATAATTAGATCATCATAGCCCCAGCACTCATCAAGACTCGTTGTTACTTTGCTGCTCTTCTCGTTTTCTGTTCCTGCCCTGCCTCATTGACATTATACTGTTCATTCCTTATTCCTTGCCCTCTCCCCAGAAAACAACCTCCTCTTCCATCCTAAACCCTGCTTGAACCAATCCAGTCCCTTCCAGGCCTCTCCTGGGAGATGGCATCATCTAGCTTGTCTGTCCTCAGAAATGAAAGGAGCCCAGGATGTGCTACTGAGGTAGTTTCTTGTGCTAGGAGAAGGAATCTGTGGGGAGAACCCTCCCAGATGTGACATCATGAAACCAGAAAAAAACAGGGCACCTTAGCTACAGGAGTTCAAGTGCAGGGAAGAAGTCCAAAGGGGCATCTGTGGCCCTCTCAGAAGGCAGGCAGGCTCATAGTAATCAGCAGAAAACTTTGAGGGCTGGAAAGGCAATGGATGCAACCTAAAAGGACTGAGCAAATGAGAAACTATGATCCTCTTCAAATTCCAGGGGGAGAAGAACGTGGGGTGAGGGTGAAGAGGAAGAAAGCAGGTTTCCGGGCTTATGGCAGGAGGGAAGGAGGGCAGTGGAAGTCAAGGGAGCACTCAGACAAAGAAAAAAAAGTGCCAGGGCTCCATGTACACACAGATAGCAGCTCTGGTCATCTGTTTGGGAACATTCCTTTTCTGCGCCCCCTCCTCACTCCCTGTAGAACGCCCCTTCCCACCTCGTTAGGGCCCTTTAATCCCTTAGGGCACTGGTCTCTCCCAGACCTGCATTGACTTCCCCTATGGCTAATCCTACCAGCATGCTCACCAGCCCAAGGCCCCCATGACTTACTCTATCACACTGGTCTTCTCCCATCAGTGCCTGTTGGAGACCTACCTATTCCACAAAATCCCACTTACCTGTCCCTCTTCATGAACTCTTCTCTGCCTGCACTGCTGGAAATTTACCCCTTCCTCCAACCAAGGGCACTATTACCAATACCCTCTGCAGTGAGGTTGAGAGAGTGGTTCTCTGGTCTGTCTTGCTCAGTGCATGCCATGTTACCATGTCCAACTTGTTTTTGTATCCTCTCCAGTCCTTTTTCAGGGACAGGCCACAGGCCCAAAGGGTGATCCACTCTTGCTTGCTAAATTGGACTACAGGCAGTCAGGGTTTTGGCTGTAACATCATCTAAGGAGCAGAGAATGGGAGCTAGGCTAGGCTGAGGTACGGGAAGGAAGGCAAGGTTGGTGGCCTTGGCAGGGAGATCTCTGTACGAATCCTGACTGTGCGATCCTCTAGTTCACCAGGTTCCTGAAATTTTCTTAGCCTTGGTTACTTCATCTGGCAGAGATAATGCTTATCTCCTTGGGTTATTGTAGCAGTTAAATTTGGTGCCATATCAAAGGGCAAGACAGTAAGCACCCAATTCATTAGTTTCTTGAAGTTTTTCCTACATCAAAGGAATATTTCTCTGGTGTAAGGCAGAGACAATCTGACCTTTGGGAGCTTCTAGGAGAGGATGCTCTAGGAAGCACCTGCCTAGTTTCTTTTAGCAATAAATTCTAAGAAGGAAGGGGAGACTTTTCTTCAGTGCTTTGCAGTGACCTGTGACTGTGGGACCCACAAAATAGTATGAGGTCAGCTATTGGGCAAAAGCAAGCCCCCAAGCCAGTCTTGACTGTCAAGACACAGTGATGAGAATGGTCCACAGATTGTACCCTGGGAGTCCCCAGAGCTGGGCAGTGGGCTCGATATGAGCAAAGCAAAAGTGCCATGCTTGAATCCACCAGGATAGGTCAAGATGAAGCTGGTGAGCTGCTTTCTTGGACCCTACTCTGCTTTCAAACAGGCAAAGGACAGAAGAGGATAAGTGAATGAACACAGAAACCTCAGAGAGAGGACAGAGGGAGGAGGTGGGGCCTGAGGATTACCAGGACAAAAGGGCTGGAGTCAGGTCATCTATCCTGGCTCTAGGCCCCAGAACAGCACTTGCTGACACTTGTCTCTTTGAGGGCAGTTGTCTTCCTCTCTGGCCCACCCTAACCTTTCTTCTGCCCTGGAGACACCTCAGAGCCTGGCCTCCAAATGACTGCCTTCAAATACACTGCATTTTGGGGGACAATAGAACAGTGTTTGGGGGTAATCTGGCCAGGAAAACCCAGAAGGTAAAGATGTCCTAGCCAGCCCCAAACAGTTTCTCTCTCTTTCTCTCTCTCTCTCTCTCTCTGACTTTAAAGAATAAAACTTCTGACTACACTAGTCTCTGCCAGCTGCACTAAGGGTAGGTCAAGAAATGACTGGAATGGACCACATAAGGTTTAGAGTTAGGGAAGTCAGGCACCACGGTCAGCCCTGCCACCCGAGGAAACTGCCATTCTCACTTGAGAGGCTTCTCTTCCATGGGGACAGAACCTAGGAAGGCCCCATGGGGGGCAGAGCCCGCAGTGGCCCTTGCATGGATTGTGAGCCAAAGTCACAGGGGTCCTGGAGCCCAAGTGTCAGTAAACCAGGGGGCACAAGGAGAGCTGGTGGTAGGGAAAGACAGCATGCAACCTCTGGGGACTGGGACAGTGCCCAGCTAGGCTGGGACACTGAAATGCCCCCAGGCAGGCCAACTCCTAGTGTTCCTGGTTGTAAGTCCCTGGTTGCTCCTATTCTGAGGCTAGGAAGCAGCATCTGCAGTTGTTTCTTCTAGGGCCCCCTTGCCCAGCCACCTAGGATGTTTTCCCTGGTGCAATCTTGCCTCTGCCGATTCTCTATCTGCTTCAAAGTCCAGGCAATCCAGGGCCACTTCCTCTCACACCATCAGCAAAACAGCATTCTGGAGCTGTGTAGCACATGCCTGTGCTTTGTTGCACCCCACAAAAGGTTCTGACAACAGTGGTCTGCACACCCAGCCAGAGCTCTTCTTGGAGGAAGTGGTATGCTTACATTATTGTGTGACTAATGACATCCCATTAGACTGTTTTATACCCAGCACCTCACTGAAGACCTAGAGTATGATAATTGTTCAATAGATATTCACTGAGTAAGACAATGAGTGGGTGGATGAAGGAATGAAACGATAAAACACTCACCCTCTGAGCTCCCAGGACCTCTCCCCAGCCAGTGATTACCTGGGACTTCTTCAAACTCACCTGGGCAAGAACAAGGGCCTGCAGCCTTGTGAATGGGCAGTCTCAGCTGGATCTGCTCCTTTGTAACTATGTGACTAGGCTTCCCACCTGAGATGACTATGCAAGGTGCCCAGCTGTGCTGGCCCTAAGTGGTGACCCAGTGCTGTACTCTAGGTAAGGGAGGGACAGGGGCTGCTGCAGATTCCACCAGCTGTAAAGGCAAATGTGAACTTCTCAGATTATAAGGCATCCTACAGAGATACAGGTACAGAACAGAGCAGTAGCAGAAAGGAGGGAAAATTTGAAGGTGCCCCCACTGCCAAAAGAAAGGGGTCAGGGACACAGTCTCCATGGACAGAGCCAGAGCCTGGATTGCTCTTTCACCCAGGGGAACCCAGGAAGGGAACCCCTTCCACCTCTGTGCTCCCAGGTCCCATTCCTCCCATTCCTTTTGCGCCTGAAGGGCTGAGGGGGGAGGGGGTGTGACCCAGCCCTCCCCCTGCCCACTTCAGCTGTCAATCTGCTGTCTGGAAGAAAGGCTTGAAGCCTCCTGACAATTGTGGGCACCTTTCTCCTGCCCCGCCTCCCGCCCCTGCCCTGCCCTCTTCCCCTCATCTCTCTGACAGGGCTCTTCTCAGATTGTTCCTGGGTTGCTTCCCCTCCCATACCAGGTCCTTCTTTCCTCTTTCTCTGCCTGTCTTTGCCATGTCTTCCGATTCTCACCACTACAGACTTGTATGCCCTTGTGGGTTTCTAATGATAGGGTGAATGTGTAAGCTCCATCCAGATCAAGGTCATCCATAGACTGAAAACACAGTGGGTGGGATGGTCAGCTTGTTGTGAGCAAGTTTCAGGAGTGTGCCTGAGGTTTCTGGGCCCCCTGGGCCTGATGCCTCCTCAGGAGGAGGTCATTAAGTTATTGGCTTCCCTGAGATACATGAGGGGCCTGTTTATCCCCTACTTCTGAAATCAGGATGCTCCGGGGGCAGGAACTCCCAGGCTTAACACTACATTCAGGTTCAAAGAGATTAAAGTCCATAATTAAATGTTCAGGGCAAGTTAAGTGTTCCAAACTTTGATGCTAAAAATATTGTATTTAGTATGCAAATTATGCCCTGACAGCTCCCTGAGCCTGAGCCTGTGGGTGCCACCACCTTGTTTGTCATCAGCACTGTTATTGTCAAGGTGGTAAGAAAATTCTTTTTCCACTGATGGATTTATATTTCATTTTGTTAAAGCCACGTTTCTGTTTTCAGGGCAGGGCTGAGTTGTAGCCCCAGGAAGCTTGGAGCTGTGAACTGGCTTGGAGCAAGAGGAAGGAGAGATACCCAGGCCACAGCACTCAGGCCTGGCCTGCTTTCTCCAACCTGTCCCCGAGCCGAAGATCCTGACATGAAACAGAGACAGGAAGAAGGGCAGAGACACACAGGCAAGGCCGGCACCTCCAATGCCACCTTTTCCAAGAAGCCGTCTCTGGCCTGGTGGAGGAAAAGGCCAAAGGAAGAGCCAACCTTCAGAGGCTCCAGACCTGGAGAGGTGGGAACACCTGGCTTCCCTCTGGAAGGACCCTGCCAGAAATAAGAGTTTTGGCTCTCTCTGAATGGTAAGGATGGTGTTGGCATTGCTCTGGGCCACCCAAGGGCCCTTGAGTTACTTGTCAAAGTTTTATTAGTTTGGTGCATGTGTAGTGAGATGTTACAGAGTCTGGAGCCTGGGGACCCTTCCAAGCTGCAGTTTCCCCTCCTCCCTCAGAGCAGGGTCAGGCCAGGCCAAAGGGCCCTCAGCAGCCTCTTAACCGCAGGCTCCTCTAAGGCAGAGGCACTGGAAGGGAAAGGAAAGAGGAGAGAGAAGAAGCCAGAGGAGGAGAAAAGGAAAGACACTTTATGTCAGAGTGTGGCAGGAGACAAACTCTCGAAGAACTTCAAATGTCCCCCAACTCAGGCCCAGATGTGGGTTCAATACTTGACTTCCCAGGCTTGCCAGCATTGGCTAGGAGAAGGGCGGCAGCCAGTGGTGGGGGCTGGCATTTCTCTCTTCAGACTCTCTTGGGGCCCATGGATATTAGGGTTCTTCCCTCCAAGGGTGTGGAAACTGTATGGAGAGCTGTAACAGAGAGGGATGAGTGAGGACCAAAGCTGGGAAGATAGGAATCACTTCCGGGGTGGGGAGGGAGCTAAGATTTTTGGTTTGGGCTCCTCTGGGGTCCATGTGTTATGTGGTATTTACATGAGTCTTCCAGGGCTGAAATGTCTTCCCCATGTGAGCTTTGGAGAATGAGACCTGTCCCACCTTCCCACTGCCTGCTCCAGCAAAGGCCCATGAAAACCAGGGGGAACCCAATAGAGTTTGCTTGCCATTATACACTTGACTCTGACCCCAGTAACTCCGGTGACCCCAGTGCCCCAGAGAAAGGTCAAGGAAGGCAGCTGAATCTTTGGTGCCAAGGAGAGAGGGCCTGGAGGTGGGAGGGAGACTCTGTGAGCTGCCCTAAGCCATGGGTCCAGTCCCAGGGCTGGTACCATGCTGGGCTCTGTAGCCCTGCCCTGGCAGAGTGAGTGTGTGGGCAGAGGGGCGCAGAGCCAAGTTAACACTGCAGGGCCTGTGGGGTGATGAGAAGGCCCAATCCCTCGGGGCCTTTCTGCCCATGGCTTGCAGGGATGAGGCCCAGAGAACCTGGGCCTGGAGGTGGGAAGTGGCTGCTGTGCAGGCAGATGGCAGAGTCAGCAGTGTAGAATCTTCATGAAGGCCTTGCGGAACTCGATGTTGAAGGTTGTGTAGATGATGGGGTTCACAGCACTGTTGACATAGCCCAGCCACGTGAAGGCGCTGTACAGGACTGGCGGGATGTTGCAGTCACAGTGTATGTTGAGGATGTGCGTGATGAAGAAGGGTAGCCAGCAGATGATGAATACGCCTGGGGGAGAGGCAGGGTCAGGCTGGCCTTCAGGCCTTGGAGAATCTGAGCTGAGCATGCCCTGCCCTGCCCTGCTGGATGGGCCTCTGGCTTGTATGCTGCAGGCCCCAGTGCTATGGGCTGAAGCCCCAGGAGCACTGCAAGGGGAGTCTAGGCCTTGGATCCTAGACCTGCACTCAGCCCCTGGGACTGCAGCAGCAGAATGCCCAGGTGCAACATGGTCCTGCCACATCATGTGATCATGGGTAGACCCTTAGCCTGCAGGGACTGCATGCTCTCATCCATAAAAAGAGGACAGGAACACTTGCCTATTCACATCCCAAGATCACTAAGCTGCTAAAGGACATCACAGGTGTTACACAGAAAACAGCTAACCTTTCCTCAGCCAACCTTTTAGTTTGTGACCTTTACTATATGGTTTTTCTAGAAGAACTGCATTTAAAAGTCTTGCCTAAAAGAAAGGTCCACTCCCTCCTTTAGATCAGAGTCCCCTCCCTGCATTTTCACAGCTCTTGTTGGGACAACAAGATGTGGTTGAGTGCAAGAGTTTATTTCCCAGTTCTCTAGTAACAAGAATAGATAAAGTATAATGATAACAAGTATGTATTTGTGCTGCTTTGCAGATTTAAAAAATATGTTCACCAAACCTACGCCATCTGACCATGACAACAGTCCTGAGAGGTTATTTAGTCTACAGACAGGGGATCAGAGATAAAAAGTGACCTGCCTCAGGACATGAGGCTTGGGGACGTTATGGTAGGCTGGTCAAGCCCACAGACTCTGGAGACAGACTGCTTGAACTTAAATCATGAATTCTTCTTGGTCAAGTTATATAGCTATGCTAAACCTCAGCTTGCCCATCTGTAAAAGGAGCACAATTATAGAATCTCCCTAAGAGCCTGTCTGCATATCAGTGAGCATGGCCCAAGAATGTGTGAACCCATGATACACCAGCCAGGGTCAGCAAGGGCTGGCAGGGACTGCAGCCTGCAGGGACAGACCCTTTCCCTGACCAGAGCTGACTCACCGAGAACAATGGCGAGCATCTGAGTGGCTTTCTTCTCTTTCTGCTGGGAGAGCTTCCTGCGGCTCATGGTCTTGAGGGAGGTCCGAGTTTTGCCATTGGGCATGGACTGGATTTCAAAGATCTTGGCAATCTTGGGGTGGTCTTTGGCATGCCCGTTCTTCTCTGGCTTAGCAGGGCTGTCGGGAGTGCTATGGAGGCCATGGTGGGATGGATCAGGGAGAGTCAGCTGGTGGTGGCTGGGTGGGATAGGGCTGTACCGGGTCCTCTCTGGTGGGCTGGTGCTAGAGACAATCTCCATCTCCAGCTCCTGGGCTCGGCGGGCAGCCTCCTGCACCACAAGCAGAGAGCTCTGGGTGAAGCCAGATATGGTCTTAGGCAGCAGCCACCCAGGCTTCTGTGCTTCTGTACTCCCCTTCCTTCCCCCACTGAAAACACAGGGTCACTCTGCCAGGAGGGCAAGGAGAGCTGTCACTGAGAGGCAGGAGCATGGAGTCTAATGGGATCCATAGTCCACTTCCCAGAGAAATTCTTTTGTAATCTCCAAACCATTGTCCCGGGCTGGGGTGGGGGGCTTCTCTTTTGTTAGCATAGCAACACTTACTGAGAGCTGCCTAAGTGTCAGGTGCCAAGCTGGTCGCTAGGGATAAATCCCTAAATGATGTTTGGTCTTGCCTCCAAGAACTGGCATTCTAACTGTTTAGAGAACACCTTTGGTCCTTTCTGCTAGGCTGAATCACAAGCCCAACGCTCTTGCTTCGTGGGTACCTGTACCAGCTTGCAAACTAGACTGACCCAAGTGCTGAACAGCTGACCCCTAGGGCACCACATCATCCCTGCTTCCCTGAGGGCCTGGTATGGATCCTCTCACAGTCACCCCATTCTTCCTTAGGCTGTCTTGTTTGGGATCTCAGAAGTCTTAGCTCCAGCTTCTAAATGTAGCCAGTCTGTGTGCCCAGCTGGTAAAACTGAGTTGCTGCCTTGATCCCATCTTGGGTCCCTGTTTTGGTACCTGTGACATAAAAGCTCTGAAAGTGATGCCCTTGAGGTATGGGTGAGAGGTGGGGACCCTGCTTCCCAAGGACACCTGACCTGGACTTTGCATGAGGTCCTCTGTGGGCTCCATGTCCTGTGGCCACCTGTGTGTGTGAGGGTGAAACACCTGCTGCTTGGATCCCAGTTCTAAGGCTGTGCTCTGATTTGCACCTGAAGGCTCTATTTCCAGGTTGTTTCATCAGTAGCCCTGGGGCTGCTCTGCTGCAGCCTTCCTCAGCCTCTAGCCTCTAGTCCCAGAGCTGGCCTGTCAGGATGGCAGCACTTGCCAGTGGATAAACATGGGTGTGGATTTAGAAGTTACAGAGATCTGGGTTCAGATATGTGCTCTGTCACTGTTTAGATGTGGGGAAGTTGCTAAATTCTCTGAGCCTGTTTCCTCTTTTGAGAGTTGAAGATTGTTAAAAATCAATTGGACTTAACCTCCCAGGGTTGTGGTGAGGATTTGGTGAGATGATAGGAACTCAGGAGGTGTGTGAGAAGTGGAAATAGCCATTCTCATCATTTTTATTATGTCATGGCCAAGTCCCTTTTCCCATCAATTTTCTGTGTCCCTGGGGCATGCAGAATTGAGGTATCCTGCTCCATATCTGCTAGGAGGTGTGCATGGTGCACCTGCCCTCAGCTGAGGTAGTGGGGATGTTGAGAAGTGTTTCTCTCTTTAGCCACCTGGTGAGGGTTCAGAGTCATGGCTGGTAGGCTTCCCAAGGACAGAAAGTATGGCCGTGGGTTCCTGTCCTGAACACTTACCATTCTCCGCCTGTTCACTGGGAAACTCCCATTAGACTTCATGATAACGGTGCAGAGTTTCATGTCCTCAGGGTGAGTACAGTTGCCCTGTGGAGTGAGCCAGCACATGGGTCACACAAGACAATGAGGGGACCGGGCACAGGGAGACAAGAACCCAAGGCTTTATGGAAATCTCAGACTCAGAACAGGGCTCAGAGATTAGGAGTGTGGGACCACAGAAGGCAGTCAGGGTAAAGGTTAAGATTGGTGCTGCAATGAAAGGAAGTAGGCAGGACAAGGGACGAAAGGACTCTGATTTTTATGGAGCACCTACTCAGGGTTTGGCACCCTGTTAGGAGTACTCATAACCCTCTTGTGATGAATCTTCAGGACTACCCTGTGAAGTCCATATTATTATTTTCCTTTAAGAGATGAGGAAACTGAGGCTCACAGAAGTTAAGCAATTTGCCCATGGTCACTCAGCCAAAATGGGCGGTGCCAGGATTTGAACCTGATCTGTGTAACTTGAAAGCCTTTCCTTCCATGCCCACTCACAGTCTTTTCAGATAAGGCTGAGTGGAGGGGAGAATTCACAGGACCAAACAAGGAGCTGAGAGAAGAACAGAAAAGAATAGTAGGAGAGAAGAAGTGATAAGGATGCAGGGGTGAGCAGGACAGAGAGTGTGGCAGGTAAAGAAAACAGGATGGAGGAGACAGAGAGGAGGAAAGGGAGACAGAGATTAGAAAGGAGAAGCTAAGCAAAGAGGAAGAGGGGAAACCAGGACGATGCCAAGCTGGAACAGCTGCCCTCAGGCACAAAGATTTTTGAGCAGACTTCTCCGTCCAGTCAGTGCCATCATGGATGTCACCTCCCACTCCTGGGTGTTCAAATCCCTCCACAGAGGCCCACAACCTCATCTGTCTGCTGGGCACTCCTCCAGCCTGGACCGCAGCCTTGCTGTGGTACCCAGGTCCCTACCTGAGCAAGGGACAAACCACTTTGGGACTAGTTAGGTAGGGACACTTGGAAGGGAGAAAGGGTCTCTGAACCTTGAGTGGGGCCCTCAGGTTGGCCCGGAATGCTCGGCTACTGCGCTTGGTGTTGACCCGCTTTCGGCGTTTGCGAAGGACGATGTAGATCTTGATGTAGACCAGCAGGGTGACGATGAAGGGCACATAGAAGGAGACGATGGAGGAGTAGACCACGAAGGCAGGGTTGGCGATGATGCACTCATTCTGGTCTGGAGGAAAGAGAGCCCAGGGTGGGCAGGGCATCAGCTGGCCCCCTGGGCCACAGCACCACCTGAATATCTATCTCCTTGGTGGGAAAGTGGAGCAGTCTTACAGAGAATATGACTAGATGTTTAAGGTTGCCTGAAAATGTTGTAAATTAATGTGCATTAATCAGAGCATTAAAACCACAACCATCACCAGGTGTGGTGGTGCACATCTTTGATCCCAGTACGTGGCAGGCTGAGACAGGAGGATGGCTCCAAGTTCAAGGCCAGCCTGAGCTACATTGTGAGACCCTGTCTCAAAAAACTAAAAAAAATTTTTTTTAATTAAAAAGAACCCCACGACCATAAGCAAAAATTGACCAAGCCAGAATGACTGCTTCCAAATTTTCTCATTACTAAGTTACTAGATCATTAGTTTTGATATCTCTGAGCACACAAGTAAACCCAGAATATTCACAAGTAACGCAAGAGTTATTTTCAAAAGAGCAACCCATTATTCCAGCCTTTCCTGTATACTGGGGAGAGAAGTCCTGCCACTTATTAACTTTAGGAACAGGATAACTTGGTCCCGTTTGCTGGACCCACCTGTGTTCCAATGTATTCCACGTGCTCCCATGGTTCCTTCCAGGTCTACCAGAAGTTTTTTTCTTTATCTCGGGGCTTTCCTGGATTAATTCAACCATATTTAGCCTTGTTCCCACTTCTTAGAATTCCTGTGACATTTTGATTTCATACCACACATTTTCTAGGCTTCACTGTATTCTGTCTTGCTCTTGTCTCCAGGGGTGTACCTGCCTGATTCTTGTCTCCCTGATAAGAAGCAGCTACACACTAGCAGGTATTTTGTCCCTCTTCTGTCTGAGGTGATCTGACACTGCCTTGCATAGGGAGAGAGGTGCAAGGTGGGCTCACTTCCTACTTTTCTCTAGTTTTCCTGCTCCAGGTGGCTCAGAGCTGGCCTGGGCTCAATCAGCCCATCAGGCTGAAGCCTTACCACAAAAATACTTGCTAGAGGTGAATGGAAGTTCAGTAGTCTCCCCTACATGGAGGTATACACACACAAACACACACACACACACACACACACACACACACACACACACACACTTTGTGCGGCTCTAGGGCCTGCTTCAATTTAATAAAGTTGAAAATGACCAGACATCCTCCTGAGCCACTTTCACCATTCCTTATCCCACTCCCTCATGCCCTAGGCCATTGTTTCCTCTCTAGCCCAACCTGGAACAACTCTGAGTTGGGCTGGACCCAGAAGATCCAGACCAGCCTCAGTCCATCAGGACTCTCAGCACAAAAGCAGGGATCCCAAGCCACTTGATCCCTAGGCAAAGGAAAGACTCACCTGTATTGTTGAGTCCAAAGAGCAGTGGACAGGAGATGGTGAAGGACAGGACCCAGACGATGGCAATCATGACGGTGACTCTGCGCTTGGAGCTGTAGCGCGTGTTGTACAGCATGGGCATGGCTACAGCTGTGTACCTGTAAGAGGGGGCTGAGTCTGGGGTGCAGGCCCAGGGACCCCTCATTCCACTGAATGAGTACACCAGAGATGTCCCTGATCCAGGGACTGGGCTGTTGATCACCTCCATGAAGCTTGCCAACAGCCTGGCAATGGCCCATCAAACACCAGCTGGCCAGCTGCAGTGTACATCTGGGACATGGCCATTTTTCTAATTCCCCACTTGGATTTAGGGCTTTTTGAGAGGTCATGGCCTGGGTCTTTGTACCTTTTAAACTGCACTGCACTTATGCTAGGCCTGTAAAGGTGGAAGTATTTGTTGATAGATTGGTAGCCCTATTTAGCAGGAGAGATGTACAATGGCAACTGTTTACAATCCTCCCTCACATTCATCTACTTAGAGCATCTGAGGCATTAACTTATTTCCCATGAGTGCTGTGGGGGAATAGGGCCAGTACCACAGGGAGCCTTTGTAGCACATCCATGCAAATTACAGAAAGATTCCACACATACTGCTTTGTGGGCAGAGCCTGTGCTGTGACCTGTCCTGGACATAAAATGCAAAACCAAAGCCCTGAAGCTTCAGGGGAAAGGGAACATCATCTTCTGTGTCTGAGAAATGAAATGGAATTCTAGGAACTTTTGCACAGTCAGGTAAGTAGACAGTGATAGAGCCAGGGCTTTGTCAGCATCAGGTATTTTCTCTTTTAAAGCAGTCACCATGTGGGTATTTTTGGGGACCTCATAGTCCATAGATGGCCTCCCTTTCAGGAGTTTGTGCTCTCCTAGCCAAACACACGCACGCACACAGACACAAACACACACACACACACACACACACACACACAGAGGCATGCACACATGCATACATTCACACACAAACACATGGACTCACACCCACAGGGCCAGGAGTATTGCATCACAGATGCAGCCAGAACCTGAGCAGAGGTGGGACAGACAAAAAGGTGAATAGCCAAGGTCACCTCTCCCACCCTGGCTGGACTCACCTGTCGATGCTGATGGCACACAGGTTCAGGATGCTTGCTGTGCACATCATGACATCCAGAGTGACGAAGATGTCACAATGGATCCTGCTGAATTTCCACTCGCCCACCACCTGGGGACAAAGCAGCATAGTAGGTGGACAACAGGACGAGAAAATTAGCTTAGGTCCTGTGGCTCAGGTCTCTAGCAGCAGGTCAGGCTACAGGCTCAGATAATGGAGAAGCACCAGTGGAAGCAGTGCCCATGGGGGTTTGAGGCCTATGCCCCCGACTTCTCTTCTCCCAGATGTATGTAAATCCTCTTGGTGACTAGACTTGACTAGAACTTGACTAGAAGAAAGACAACTCCATAGGAGTGCCTCATTTTTGAATCTCAATCTGTAAAACAATTATGTGATCACCATGTGGTCCTCATGTGTTTTCTTAGATTCTTTGTCTATTTGGTGTTCATTCATCACAGCAAAAACTGTATGAACTATCTCTTTTATGTTCTATGTTCCTGATGCTATGATATTCGAGGGACTTCTACACTTGAGGAGAGACTCTCTTGCAGAGCTAGCTGATTCATGGACACAGTAAACTACTTACTTGGTAGCACATGTAAGCTAAACATTCCCTGTATACTCTCACATATCAAGCCAATATTTCCTGTGACCTAAATCATCCTGGGGCCAGATGTCAGGTAACTAGGGGCCACCCCTTTAGCCCCGGAGTTATTCACACTACACAATCTTAAACTGTTCATTTCATCCTGCATTGCATTTCGTATGGAAATCCCAACAAAATCTGTGACCTGAGCTTTCCCCTGGCCCTTCCTTTGCCCCCTGACCCAAGCTTGGTGCTTCCCCTGGTTGTGCCTCCCATTCCTAGGGGAGCTGTGGATAACATTTTTTGCCCAATGGCATTGACCTCCACGTCATCACTCACTTATAATTCTGCAAACTAAACCACGTGTATAATTTTAGAATACTTATTTTATCCAGTGAGGAAACTGAGCCTCAGAAAAGTGCAGTGATTTGCTTACTTTCTTTTGGCTCAGCTTCTGGTCTTTCACTGGTACAAGTTCTGAATGAACCAGACAAGCCTTTCCATGCCTAGCCTGAAGTATATGGCACAGCGTCAGGGCCCCAAAATTGTCTGTTAAGACAGTGGCTCACTATGAAACAGAGACTATAAGTGTCTGCTCTTTATTATCCTTAGAGAATAAAAGGAATCTGGGCTACAGCAATAGGAACACCAGGACAAGCAGGGCAAGAGGTGATGTAGTGATCTGTCCTTGGCCTGATGGGAAATGAGGAGTTCAACTCCTGGCAAGAACATTTTACATCACACACACACACACACACACACACACACACACACACACACACCTACATACACTTCTACCCATCCCAAGCCCCTCATTCACATGAACACACACAATCAGACAGTCACACAGCTCCCTGTCCCTGGCATCTCTGGCAGTGTGGAGCAGCCCAACCACTGCAGACATCGCTGGCTTCTACCCATAGTGGAGAAGAAATAACAAAGCCCTCTCCAGTGACCAGAGAAGGGCAGCACCAACTATGTGTCCCAGCTCAGAATGGCAGCAGGGCTAATGGCCCCATTGCTCATTCTCACTACTGCCCTCTTCTGCACTCAGGCAAAGAAACAGACCTTGGCATTTAAACCCAAGCGTAAGTGATACAGCTGCTGTCATCTCACAAGGAGGAAACAACAGCTCTCCCCAGAAGACAGAGGTCTTTCTGTGGCAATGTTTCCTGTGGATCATGTCTCAGGACTTCTTCTAGTAGAACTGCACTATGAAAGCTGAAGGTTTGATATCCAGTTGGGGTGGCAGTGGAGGGTTTGGAGAGGGCTTCCCTGGTATAAACAGAGTGGCTTCAAGGCACCACTGGACAGGACCACAATCCTATCTGGTTCATATCCACCTCATCTTAAAGCCTCTTCTAGGACTGGTATCTAAGAGCTGCTTTCATGTCTCTGGTGATCCAGGTATGAAAGGTCAGGGCCTTTGTCTCTGTCTCCCATCTCTCCTTCCCTCCTCCCTGCTGTCCTTCTTTTCCACGAACACTTATTGAGCAGCTTAGTCTTTATCATAGGCTTCTAGACACACATAAACCACTCACACAGTCCCTGCTTTTAGGACTTGCTCCATCCTCTCTACACACCAGCCTACCTGGAGCCTAGAAGGGAGGGCTTTTTTCTGTGGTCTCAAGAGCAACTGCTTTGCAGAGTAATTAGTAGTGGCCATTCAAAGGCCCAAGAAAAAGTATCGGCAGCTACTTTATAAAATATCTATTCAGGGCACTACCTTACCTCATTTGTTATTTTTAAAACTTATAAGAGGTTGCTTATCTCAATTTTTAGGTGAGGGAACTAAAGCTCAGAGAGGCCACAGAGCATGGCCAAGTTTACTCAGGAAGCATTCAGTGGGGCTAGAAAGTGACGTAAGTTCATCAGGCACCACATTCATTGCTTTATAAGTGTTGAAGAGACCATCTTAGAAGGGACCATCTAACTTATGAAAAGCAATTATCTATGAAAAGCACTTGGTGAATATAAAACATGGCAAGGAGAGATTACCATTCCAAGGGTAGACAAACAAGGTCTCAGAACAAAACAGACACACACAAGGTCACTTGGAGATTTGGTGGTAGAGGAAGGATTAGCCCAGTTTTCTAGTTGCATAAAGAATCTTTCCTCCACACTTTCAGGCATTGTTTCTTGACATCTTGCTTCTATAGATGCAAGACTGACATAGGAAGCTCTGAGCTGGAGTCAGTAAATGCTAACAAAACTAGAATAACGGCCTGTACTTAGTGTGCTCAGGCACTTTGCAAACACACTGTATTTAGATTTGTGCAATGAGGATGGCAGAACTCAATGTTAAGGACTCTGGCTCCTTCTCTTAGAGGTGGTGGTTTTGCCCTACTGCTTCTCCTGGATAGTTCTCCCCAAAGTGTCACCTCTTTCGCAAGCCTTTCCAATACTTCCAGGCTGGGACATATGCTCCCACTATTCCCACTGTCTCCCGGAGGACTGTTCCATGTCACCTCCAGGAACTGCGCTGTAACTGGGGTCCAGTCTTCATCCATGGCAGGCCACCACCTCAGACCCCAGCATCTGAGATAGAAGTGTTCAATCAATGTTGAATGAGGGAAGAAATAACTTTGAGATCTTTGCTCATCTTTTCTGAAAACATCTTTTGAACGAATTAATGATTATTGCCCCTTCAGAGATGGTCTTAGTTTGTCCAGCTCTCAATCATTCTACTGTACAGTGCCCACTTCCAATCCCATTCATTCCGTCTGCACAGATGTTTTGGATGGGGGTGAGGGAGGAAATAGTTTGGAGAGACACTAACTACTCCATGTCTGCTTCTCTTCTTTTCTTTTTATGGTTCTAAGGATTGAACCCAGGGCCACACACTAGGTAAGTGCTCTACCATTGACCTACATTCCCAACCCTTTGATCATCTTTCTAATCTCTTCTTCTAGTAAATGTACAGTGAGCCTCACCTTAAAAGGGAAAAAGGTTTCAGTTGTCTTCACATGCAGGCAAGTGACCCCTTCCTGCCATTTGTCAGGAACTTCTCCCATTGCTGCCCCGTTGAAAAGAGATGGAGTTGGGATGTGGACTCAGCTCACTCCAGAATCAGCATACTTTCTATATGGGGGCAGAGTACCCCCAAGACAGAGGATGGCATGGAAGGCTGTAGAGGACATTTAGCATTGCTAGAAATGGAATAAGTTGGAAAATTCTACTAATTCAACTACAGCATCTCTTGAAGAAGATGCAGTATGTGTTTAACAATGTTGGACAGCACTCCACTAGGGACAATAAATTGAGAGGATTATGCCCTTTACTTGTAGCTTGCCACCAAAGTCTCATTTTATGGGGATTATATGCTGCATGCTGCCCACTGACATGCTCAGCTTCACCTCTAAAATAATGGTGGGCAAATTTCAAAGGTGTTTAAAACACTTCCTTGAAGGATTTAGATTGCTCAGGACCCAAATATAGCTTGTATACAGATTTGTCTCTCCCAAGTGTCTGGGTAGGGGTGGGTAGTCTGGAAGCTAGCAGAAGTCATGCCCAGAGTCCCAAGGAGAACACCTCTCACCCTGGAAAGAGAGTGTCTTTTTGCCTGGGTACGGAGCGGGGTGGGGAGAGGGAGGGAGAGTGCCTCCTGGGTAGAGAGGTGTTGGATATTTATCATCATCTTTATCTTCATCCCCCGTGAGTACTTACCATGTGCACAGTACCATTCTAAGCACTCTTCATACAGTGACTCATTTGATCCTCAAGCAACTCTATGAGGCAGGTACTATTATTATTCCCATATTATAGATCAGGAGACTGAGGCCAGGTCAGGTCATTTTGAACATTTCAGACTGGGCTGTTCTATCAGAACCAGGGGAATGATGGTCCAGAACTCCCTGTGTACCAGTGCGGTGGGTAACCTTGGGGGCCTAGGCACAGGCACTTATACCACTTTGGACCAACTTCCCCTCCCCATCTGAACTGCTGCTTTTAGCCATCTCCTGTGCTCCAACCTACAAAGATTTTATACTTTCTCTCAACGACAGAAGTTTCCCCTCCCAGATAGGGACTTGTGTTTGTGACATGGTTGAGTTCCCCTCTTGCCCAGGACAGCAGAATGACAGCTCAGAGAGCTGAGTGGTAGCATCTTCCCCATTGCCTGATCAGCTTTCCAGGCACACAGACTCCAGGCCAGTTTAAGTCCTTGACAGGCAACCCCAGAATTCTGAGCTGAGAAAGGGGCAGGACCCAGTTTATGCTCACTGATGCCCCCAGGCCTCCCACATCTGTCTACCAGGTTTGGAAAGTATCTGATTGAAGGGGGTCCCCTTCCAGCTTCTTCCTTTGCTATAGGACCTGAGTGAAGACAATAACTTCTTCTCAAAGTCTGCTTCCTGTAAAATGGGCAGAGTAGCATTGACTCCCATGGTTACCTGATCAGTGTATGCAAGACAGTTGGCACAGTGTCTGGGACACATGGTGGGACTGCCTGATCCCCATTTCAAGGCACAGAGCTGTGCTCTGTCCCAAGTGGCACAGTGGGTAGCTACACCATTCTTCCTAAGGAAAGGGGCTGTCCCACAGTTAGTGGTAGCTCTTTCTGGAGGCTCTAGCCATGGGTGCCACAGTCAACTGGGAATGGAGAGGATTTAAAAAACTCAGAGCAGCAGCCCCATTTTTCACATTGGAAGAAAGGAATGAAGGTTTCAGGCCCGGGAACATTAACTTGTCCCTTCCTTGGGTTTCCTTATCAGTTGTTCCACTTCCAGCCTAACCTACTGAACCAATTCTAGCCAGCCAGACAGTTCCACTTTGTATCTGCCAGCTGTGTGATGTTGGAGAAATCACCTAACTTCTCTGACTAGCTGGTTCACCATCTGCAAAATGGTGATAATGCCAGCCTCTCGCAGCTGCTTGAAGAATTATTTGGGAAAGTGATGTGTACTTAACCCGAGGCCCCAGCATTTAGTAAGCACTCTACAAACAGTAGCCGCACTTATTAAGGAGACATTCTAACCACCTGATAAGGAAAGTATTCAGCCCAAAGGAAAAGGAGGAAGTGGCAGATGACCTGTGATGGAGGTAATTTGGAACCTGGAGTCTGGCTTCTAGCACAGGGCCTCCTGCAGAAGGCACTGGAGTAAGGTGGGGCCCACACCTACCTCCAAGTAGACAACCCAGGGCATGACCAGCGTGGCCACCAGTAGGTCAGCCACTGCAAGGCTGACGATCAGGTAGTTGGTGGTAGTCTGCAGCGCCTTCTCCCGTGACACGGCCATGCACACCAGCACGTTACCGAAGACAATGATGAAGATGAGAAGGGTGAGCAGCATAGCATAGTAGTTGTAGTGGGGCCTGTCCGCCTTCCCTTCTGACCCATTGAAGGATCGGCTCCAGTTCTGCCTTTCCAGATCATCATCATACCAGGACAGATTCAGTGGATCCATTGGGGCAGCGGAGCCACTGAGTGGCAAGGCTCTGGCCAGGAGAAACGGACACGGAGTGAGGAGGAGGGCTTCCAGGGCACACTGCTTCCCACAGAGGGGTCCAGGGTGAAAACCAACTGTTACCACGCTCGGGTAATAGAACAGAGTTCTCCGAACTCGGGGTTTTAACTTTTATAACTAAAACGTTAAAAATAATAATGGGGCCTGCCACCACTCTTCTGCTAGCAAGTTCTGGCAGATGTCAGAAGGAATGAACAAGTATATAGTTTCAAATGCATAATAAAATAAATGACCTTGAAATGAGCCAATCATACATTCTTTCACTTATTCAACAACACACTTAAAAGCACGATCCATGTACCACACACATTAAGATAGCTTAGTTAGGAGTTCTAGCTTCTAGAGGTAGTAACAGAAATAGGCAACTATTTGCATAAATATTTAATAAGCATTGTTCTATATAGTGCCAGAAAATGTGGGCAGGAACAAAATATATGTTGTTCTGTAGCTCACATTTTGGAAGAAACCATAGTCAATTAAGCATCTCATGGGGTCATTTCTTAGTGGACTTGGGGGAGAGATACCTTGCCTATTCAAGGAAGGCTTTCTGGAGGAGGTGGCGTTCGAAAGATGTGCGATATCTGAAGGATATGCAGTAATTATCCAGGTAAAGAGTTGGGATCTAAGGGGAGAGTCTAGACAAGGGAAGCACATAACAAAACACACAGTTTGATAGCAGGTATCCTGGTGGGGGACCTGAAAGACATCCAGGACAGCAGAATCCTACAGGGTCCTGGCATGAGTGGAATCTGAGCAGACGGCATAGGTGAAATCATGGAGGGCCTTAAAAGTCATCATGGTAGGAATTGGCATCGACCCTAAGGGCAGCAGGAATCACATGACCAGATCTGACTAGAAGAAAGACGATTCAGACTGCAGTACAGAGGACAGATGGGAGGGGCCAAGAGAGTAAGCAGGATACCAGGAATCCAAGCAAGAAATGAGGTTTGGCAGGATACACCTGATGACAGTCCTGGAGAATAAGAATCCCATTCCAGAGGGAAAGACTTCCAGAAAGAAGTGTCATCTAAGATGGAGGAGGAGGAGGAGGAGCTAAAACAACTGAGTGGGAGCACATGCTCAAGTAGGGAGAAAACCACGAGTACCAACAATAAATAATTCTCATTGGCTGAACATGTAGGACATGACAGTGAGGTTGGAGAAAATTAAATGAGAGGGACATTCTTTGGCCATATTGGGGTTTTGTCAACTTGTTAGCCCATGAAAATTTGGGGCAAGGGGTATGGGGAAAAAATGATAACCAAGACCTGGCTTGTAAAGGTACAAGATCCCAATGATGAATGTTAATATACTGTATACTTAAAAGTACCAGTAAACACAATGAGGAAAAAAATTGGGGGCAGAAAAGTGACTCCTTTGGGTTGCTGTTCTACAAAGGTCATTAGCTATTATGACAGAGGAGAGCTGGGTGAAGAGGGGTTGTAGCTGAAACTCAAGTAGTTGACTGAAGTCACTGAATGAAGGTAAAGGGAGTGAGGACAGAGAGATGTGTTCATAATCGGGGGTGTATCTCAGAGGAAAAGCTCATGCCTAACATGTGCAAGGACCAGTGCTAGATCTCCACTACTAGCATGGGGGAGTCAGTATCATGGAACTTGGATACTGGATAGATGTATACAAGAGAGAGATCAGAGGTAAACAGGACAAAGAGTAAAGGATAACTACAGGATTTCTGTGTTGAGCTCTGGGAGGCAGCGATGTGCTCACAGAGAAAACAGATCAGAGGAGCTCAGGAGCAGACTCAGGAGGCATCGGCTTGACAGCCTGTGTTTTGGTTGTGATTGAAATATAATGCATACGTAATATAGTCGGTTTTTCTGCTGTCAAAAGTGTTCCTATTCCATACAATGGAATTAAATGTATCAACATTTCAAGACATTTGGCACAAAACACCATGACTTCCAGGTGCTTTGCTACCCAAATGGATTTGAAAACCACCAGTTTATACCATTTGGGATGAACATGTTATCACATTCAAATCAGGAAGCAGGGCGCACTCATTGCAATGGATCTGAGGGAAATGTGGAGAAAGCTCAGCCCATGTCTACACCCCCATCCTTGTCTGACATACTCACTCTGGGAGCTCTCAGCGGAGGAGTGTAGATGATGTCCTACCCAGTACCTCTACTCTGGGATTTCCAGGGGAAGTAAAAAGCCTAATCCCGTGTGAGATGACATGCAGTGTCACCGTTCAGCAAATTTTCCAATTCTAAGGCAGTGAAGCATTGTGTCACATTGATGCTGAATTTAGCAATGCCAACAGGTCCCTCTTCCCATTTGGAGCACACAGCAGGAGACCTGCATGCTCACAGTGATCAGGCAACTGGGGCTACTTCTAACATTCATTTTTCCTATCAGCCTCTTGTTGGACCTGCTAAACATAAAGCACTGTGCCAGCATTGTCAGGGCCTGGAGACCTGGAGGGGCCACTCACTCCCATTCCCACTCTCTGCCTTCTCTCTGAATATGGCTAGTGGTATCTGCCAAGTCTCCACAACCTGTATCCCTACCCCTACTCCTACCCATTCTCACATCTAGTACATTCTTGCTTTCCAGTGCCAAAGAATATCCTATACTTGTGAAGGGTTTGAAAATATGCCAAATTATTTTAAACATACTATCTCATTTATACTCAAAACAAAAATCTGAAGCTTTCAAATGTTACCCCGCTTTACAAATGAGGAAAATATCTGGAGAACTCTACTCAGTCGCTTCACATCCTTCAAAGCAAGCCTGGCTTGTACTTGCTTCAGCAGCACATATACAAAGCAAGCCTGGCTTGGAATCCTCCTGCCCTAAAACCCACGTATGTTATCTTGCCTGAACCATCACCCACTCTCTGCAGGGATCCCTAAGCATGGTTCCGTGGTTCTGTGGTCGTTTTCTCATCCAGGCATGACTGTCTGAAGAGTGGTACACGTATTACTCATGCATGCCTCATCTGTGCCATGAATCAAAAACTTAAAAAGCACACTATCTTGTTCTTTTCTGACTCCTGCTGATGGTTTGTCAGTAGTACATGTTCAAAGACATTTCCTGGATGAATCCAAGGGTTAATATAACTGGGAAGAAAAATCTCTCCAGACTTGAAATGTACCTGCAGACACAGGCCACTAGATACAAAAGTGCAGAGAAGTAACACAGCCAGAGAGCATCGTGGGCTTTGGTGTTGGATACTGTTATGGGCTACATTGTGTTCCTTGCTCTCCCACTCATAAAGTGCCCATGTTGAAACCCTAATATGACTGTATTTGGAGATAAGGCATTTAAAGAGGAAATTAATTTAAAAATGAAGTCAGTAGGGTGGGCCCTAATCTAATTTGACTTGTGTCCTTATAATAAAAGAGAGGAAATTTGGACACATCAAGAAACACACGGGATCCGCACACAGAAGACTATATGAGGACACTGATGAAGGAAGAAGGGTTCCAAGATGGAGCAAATTCTGTTCCTGGACCATAGCTGCAGGACAAACTGAGGTGGCAGCTAGCCTGGAGGATCCAGTTCACCCAGGTTATCTGCTGTAGCCAGTGACTATCGCAGCTCTCACCGTATTTCATAGGATCTAACACAAGATTGAATATAAGATGCGTCACTGTTTTATGTACCACTAAGAAAGGCATCAAACCCCAATACAGATCTAAGATCCCATCAGTTATAAAATGCAAACTGATTTCAGAGGTATTGGGATGGGGCTATGTCCTTAGAATAGAAAAAATAGTATGTCCCCTGGCATTTCTCTACTGGCTTATTCTCATGACACCTGAAAATGCTGCCCAGCCCAGGTTCCCTGTTCTCTAGCCCATCCTTCCTCTTTTATTTCTGCCTCTGTATTGCACATGTTGTGGGGTTCCAAAGAGCATCCTAGGAGAAACATGGGGGAGAGGCCAGGCTGTGATTTTTCACTGCAGTGGTACCTGGAGGATTCCTCAGGCCCTAACCTTGCCCTACTCCATACACTTCTCCTTCCTGGTCAGAGAGGCTCCATACTGTTCCAGGTATTCTGGCCTGGTCTTTACTCCAAAGAAGACAGATGAGGTCAGTGTCTACACTGGGACTTGTGTGAGGGGAAAATAACAGGGCACACAGCACCTGAAGTTTCCAGGAAAGTCCAACTATTTTTGGTCTCTATTTCAAAGGAAAATTGGCTAAAGGTATAACTCAAAGTAAATTATTCTTAGTCACATGATTTTTCAGATACATAAGATCACGTTTTAAAAAATCTGTTGTCAAAATCTATATTTTGATTTAAGGTTTTAAATATTTGATTAACTTATTCAACACCTCCAAAAGAACTGCCTCTGTTCCTTCTAGGTGACTTCTGCTTCACAGATAAAAACTCACAGAAGCTCCAAATCATAGGCTCTGATCAACATGTAGTTACGATCACCAAGTGTATGCATGGTCACTGCCGCTTCTCAGCCCTTTCAGGTGTAGCTACTTGATCACGTTTCCCAAGACATAGCTGGATGACCTAACCCTGCAGATGCCGGGCCTTGAAGAGCGCCTGCCTCCTCCCAAGGCATCATCTGCATCTGTTCGGCAAAGTGAGGCAGTGCTGCTCCACCAGGCACGTGCTTACAGACAAACTTCCAGGGGTACTCTGATGCCTCCTGGGCTCTTATTTCACAGCTGCCCTGGTGGGAGCCGGGGCCAAGGATTTAGCTCAGTGGCACTGGGCCTGCCTCAAAAACACAAGGTCATGAGTTTGATTCCCAGTCCAAAAAAAAAAAGAATAAGGGCAGGCCATTTGTGTGGGTGGTCTGTAAGCCTCAGGACAGCAAAGTGCCATAAATCACGTGCCCCTCATCTGTCACCAGTAATTACTGTTCTGCCCTAGCACAGAAAGGCAAATATCTAGTAAAAGATCTCCCTGAAGAGTTATCCATTCTGGCTCTCAGTACCTCTCTCCCGTCAAGTGCCCTGAACATCTAGCTTAGAGCCAGCCTG